TGGATTCAAGAAATTACACCTTTCCCTAGAAGAACTGAAATTTCAGAAAACAACTCTCCCGCTGCTAAACAAGTAAGTATTGCAATTACTGGAAGGGGAATCACCTTCTAAATACTTTCCTCGATCAAATATTTTATAGAAAATTCACTCTTCCGCCAACATATTTCAGATTCCAAACAAATGAGAACAAAGAGCCGATTCCCAGTGCTTGCAGCCATCTTGCACTTTAATTATTTCCTTTAGTTCTGCTGCTGATAAAGGTCATGTACCTAAAATGGTTAAACGGGAAGAAGGAAAAAAATGACACTTAGGACATCCTGTCCATTTTGTCCAGATGTGTCTCATGCAATACAAATTAGGGGGCGCAGAATCGAATCACTTACAAGGAATTTAATGAAATCGGCATGCAGGCCTCTGTTTTGTATCAATCGCCATTTTGCTTATGCAATGGTAAATATTATATTTGTAATGATCTTGGATGAATCAGAAAACAATATTCCAGACACTGAGATGTTTGAACTACAGGAAAAGATGCAACATATAGAAAGAAAATCCCTATTCATCAGAATGTGTTATTTTTTTCTCTTCCTCCACCCCCTGCTTTTGTTTGTCCTTTATCAAAATGATAAATTAAACTTCTAAGTTAATTAACAACTACTGATGAACTGCTTTTTTTAAAAGTTTCTTGAGATTCAAGTGAATTTTTATTTAATATGCCTTTCTTGAATTTAACACTAGTGTTTTTCTTCTGGATATAGGCCAAAAGTTTCAGTTTTGAATGCCCAGCTTTATTCACCCAGAAACAATTTTGGTCCAGTGCTCAGGGTACTAGCTTGCAATTCAGGAGACCTGACTTCAATTCCCTGTCTTGTCACAGACTTCCTGTATGAGTCACATAGGCCATGTCTACACTACAATAGCACAGCTGTGGCACTGTATTGTAGATGCGTCCTACATTGATGGAAGGGGTTTTCCCGTGTATGTAGGTAATCCAGCTTTCTGAGAGGCAGTAGCTAGGTCAACAGAAAAATTCGTCCATCCACTTAGCTGCATCTACAGTGGGGGGTTAGGCTGATCTTTTTCTATCCTTCACTTTGAGAGAGGGGACGTTCTGATTTCCTAGTCATGATACACATAGTGGCGGTTTCTTTCTACTCCCTTAGCCTCTTTCCCAGACACCATTTTTGCATTCGGAGCAAGTAATGCTTCCCAAGTACCTAAGAACATCACCAATTTCCAAGGGGGTTCCTCTTGATTTATATTGGCATGAGTGAGAGGAGAATCAGAACTTATGTGCTTTGAGTTGGACACACATTTCAGGATAGATGGTTTTCATCTTATGTGCCAGGTCAGCTATTCTTCTGGCTGCTGCTCCCCACTGCCCCTTCTCCGAGCCTGAATTCCCCTCATTCTGCCCTGTACAGAGGTGGTCGCTGCTGAGGGGACCAGATCTCTTTTTTAGCTGGGCTGCATGGGAGAAAGGCCGATCCTCTGATATTACAGCTTGCCATGATGGGTGAGACTCCAACACCCGGGATCCTCGAGAGGATGGTGCCATTAGCACTCACACTGGCCAAAGTGCCCCTGGCCCCACGAGGAGGAGAGATCTGCTAACGTGGGCATGGAGAAGACCAGCTCGGTCACAGAGAAGGACTTCTAGATATTGACATTGGGACTGATCCTTTCCTGTTGGCTCCGTTTTTTATGCTGAGTGCTGTAGCCTCTCTTATCTCCTGTGACAGCATGGTCAGGAGAAGGAAGAGAGAATGGGGGAAGAGAAAGAACTTCAGAATAATAGAGCCAGCAGGTATCCAGGCTTAGAAACCAGGGCTCAGGGTGAAGCAAGGATAACAAATGAAACCCTATTGCTATGGAGGGGGAATGTCTGTCCTGCTGGGAGACATTCTAGGCCGAATCCTGGGAACTCGGGGAAAAGGGGAACATTAATAGAGATGCTTCCATGTATATATAACAATAACCCAGACTGCTGCTTCTCCCCAGCCAGAGCTGCCCTGGCCTAATGAGACTCAGAGATCTCCCTAATGCTCTGTCAGAAGGATGCACGGGACCACAAGGCCTAGTTCCCGGGCCCTGGCACCGTGCGTATTCCACTTCAAAGCCCTTTCTCAGGCTCAGTCTCTCCCGGAAAGCTGTGAACGGACGGAGATTGGCTAAAAGAGGCGGGACGGTGAGACCTGGGGTTCAGGAAAATGATTTCCTCTGGCAAGGAGCAGACATGCCGTGAGGAGCCGCTTTAAGCTTCTGCCAGGAGAGGTTAAAAAATAATCCAAGGAGCTTGTTCGCGGCTCCCTCTCTGATTTTCAAACCGATGCCTTCCCCCCCCACCTTCCCTCCTTCCCCCTGCTGCTCACTCTTCACACATTGAAACCTATTTTGGGCCCGCTGATGAATCCCAGATGCCTGAGGGAAGCAACAGAAGCGATGTACGTTCCATTCGCTGCTTTCTTGGCAGCCCCCCGGATCCTCCGGGAGCCAGTGGAGGGGTGGGGGGAGAGGACAATGAGGTGGCACTACGAAGAGCAGGCTCTCGTTTGTAATTGCTCACGGGCTGGCGGGTACAGAGGATGAACCCACCTGGCCCTGGAGGCAGTGTGTGCATTGGCATGGGGCCGTGCAGTGCCTCCGAGGGGTTGCACCAACCTGGAAGAGGGAGGAGGCAGATGGCGGGAGGGAGGTGTTTGTCTGGAACTGCGGACAAAGAAGACATCGGGGGACAGCCCTGGGAGCTGAGTCTACCAGCTCCCGAGCAGCCTACGCTGGCTCCCAGCCAGTCTAATGTACACACATAAGGACGCAGAGAGAGCCCAGCTGCTCAAACCTTGGGCTGTTCAGAGTGGAGAGGATGGGCTGAATCCTGATCTCGCCCCCCCCCCCGTGTAAATCTGGAGCAATTTCACTGAAATCAATGGAGTTACAGACTGATGGAGGTGCCCCGCTGCAAGTGACAGCAGAATCTCACCTCTCATGCAGGGATTAAGTAACTCAGCAGAGATTTTTAGGATGTAGGTTCCTGCACACACACACACACACACACACACACACTCACTCCTCCGGCCCCAGGCTTCTGCCTCTGTTACCAAGCGGTGTATGGGTTCACTAGCCTATCGTAACAGAGCCTTCGCCCCTCCTCAGCTTGGAGTGGGACCCCCTGTGCACACAGCAAGTGGACTCAGAGCTTAGCAAAAACTTCCCTTTCACTCACAGCATTTCAGATCCATGCCCCGGGGGTTCTGCCCCAGGCAAAAGGATACCTGTTCCCAGCACAGAGCAAAGCTGCCCTTTCTATGCAGGGCTGGGGCAGCCTCAGCAAATTTGGGGAGTGTGTGTGAGACTCTTAAACAACCACAGCAAAGACACATGGACTCCCCCCTCCCCAGCTCTTTTCCTACTGGGGAATGGAGAGGGAGTCAAGGTTTTAGCTCCAGGTGGCCAATTCAACCACAATTCCTTTTATTTCAGTTGTGATTAATTTGTCCCGTGGCTTTAATCCCATCAGATTTGAGGGTCTCCTGTACCCCTTTCCTCGGGTCCAGGAAAGAGGGTTGGCCCCAGAACCACTCCACTCTCCAACAGGGGATGAAAAAGACATCCCTGTAGGGTGCAACTGTAACCCACACACCTTCTGGGTGTGGTGTTCTGTCCCATCTAGTGGCACCAAATCCACTTAGAGAGAGTTAAATGAGTCTGCTCTTCAGCCTTAGATGGTAGAGGCTCATGCACTAAGCTCCAGAGGCCCCATGTTTGATCCCGCCCACCGACGACCAGGGTCTGTCGGCATTAAACAATAACCTGGGATCGGTACATTGGAGACCCAGAAGCCCTAGGGCTCAGCACCGCCCCCCCGCAGGAACATTGGGAGCACTGATTTAATTTCTCATTGTGAAGCCCAGCTGGATTCTCTGGGCCAAGTGCTGCCCTTGATTCCCCCTGTGAAAACTCAGGGGAATCATGGGGGTGGCCAAGGGCAGAATTATTCAATTTGTGTGGACGTGCAGGGGCAGAGTGCAGCTGTTTCATTCATGAAAGCCATTGGAAAGCTGCTGCCACTGAATGGGCTCTGGAGGAAGGAAAACCTGTCTGCTGGGGGCTTTGCACAGACGGGAGACGGGCTTTGCAAATATCAGATTGCAAGCTGTGTGGGGCAGGAAAAATCTTTCACGTTGTGTGCATCGAGTGCCCTGCACAAGGGGGCCATTAGCCACAGCAGTAATAATGACTATGACAAATTCAGCCCCCCAGCACCTCTGCTAGGAGGATGAGTATTTACTGACAGGCCCCTGTTATAGCTGGGAAAGCTCCCAGAACATGGGTGGCAGATGGGCCACGCACCCCTGCCCCCGCTGAATTACTGGGAGATGCAGATGCTCAGGACTAACGAAACCTCACGCCATTGCAAGCCAGGAGGTCACACAGAGAGTATGTGGCACAACTGGGAATAGATCCGAGCTCTCTTGCCTCACTGGGCTTTGCTCTAGCCCCATGGTCAGGGGCTCTCAACCTTTCCAGACTACCATACCCCCTTCAGGAGTCTTATTTGTCTTGTGTACCCCCAAGTTTTACCTCACTTAAAAATGACTTGCTTATAAAATCAGACATAAATATACAAAAGTGTCACAGCTCACTATTACTGACAAATTGCTGACTTTCTCATTTTTACCATGTAATTATAAAATAAATCAATGGGAATATAAATATTGTACTTACATTTCAGTGCATAGTATATAGAGCAGTATAAACAAGGCATTGTCTGTATGGAAGTTTAGTTTTTACTGACTTTGCTAGTGCTTTTTATGTAGCCTGTTGTAAAACTAGGCAAATATCTAGAGGAGCTGGTGTGCCCCCTGGAAGACCTCTGCATACCCCCAGGGGTATGTGTACCCCCCGTTGAGAACCACTGCCCTAGGCCATTTCACCGCTCACTGAAATTCACGTGGCTTCTCTTTCTTTCCCTCTCCTTCTCTCGCAACTGCACTGTGCAGGTTTTTTGTCAAATTCCCATCTGCCAAGCAGTACTTCAGTCAGTTCAAGCACATGGAGGACCCCCTGGAGATGGAGAGGACCCCGCAGCTGCGCAAGCATGCCCGGCGGGTCATGGGCGCTGTTAACACCGTAGTGGAGAACATCAACGACTCCGAAAAGGTCTCGTCTGTTCTGGCCCTGGTAGGCAAGGCCCACGCCCTCAAGCACAAAGTGGAGCCTGTCTACTTCAAGGTAAAGGACTGGAGCGAAAGTCTCGGACACTAGATGGAAAGGGAAGGAGGGCATAAGGCCCACACTGATAAACGGGTGCTGGCAAGAGATGGTGGGGATGCACTGGTTTATTCTAGCCTCCAGGATGCTGGCCAGTCCTATGGATTTTTATATCAGGAGTAGTCAGCTTCCCGGGTATCCTGAAGGGGGTGGTATACCAGATAGGGTCTGCTGGCACTGGGAAGAGAGGCTGGAGTCGGTGCTACAAGTCAGCAAGTTCCCTCCCTGCTCACCTCCTCTCCTTACTCACTCAGCTGGGAGTTTTCTTTCGCTCCCGTTAGTAGCCAAGGGGCAGGTGGCACTGACAGGCAGCGAGAGAGCGAGGGAAGGGGTGAGGACTTCACAGGCTGCACCCCAGAAGCATCTCCATGCCCAAGAAACTCTATTGTAAGGCAGGTGCTTGCCAACAGTAGGGGCCTATTTTGGTGCTTCTGGAGGTGGGGGAGTGCAGGGGAGGGCTGTTACAGTGCCAGGGGGTGTGTCAAGTGAGTGGAAGGGGCTATGGGGCTGCATGCCAATGAGATGAAGAAGAGGGGAAAAGAGTTGGGATCCTCATTTGAGGGTTATCTCCTTTGCTGGGAATTGACCTGCCTTCAGATGGAAATGGCCAAAGGGTTAGCAGACAGAACAATCAGCTGGCTAGTGTAAGTGCAGCCTCCGAGCACCTCCGCATCCTCCGCTGAAATGCAGCTCGCAGGAAACGGCCATGCTCCTGCCAAGATGGGGGGAGAATTGCTTTCCAGCTTCCTCCAGGCACCATCCCCCCGCCCCGTGCCACACGGTGCCAATACCCAGTTCTGCTCTCACAGGCAGCACGGGTCCGCGGGATGGTTTTTAAGATGAACCTCAGGGGAAAAACCCCCGCCTCTGAGCCCATGAGGTCGGATTGAAAAGGGCTGTGGCCTACAGCCGTGGGAGCCTCGCCGCCATGGGCCACCTCCCCCAGCCATGGGCATCAGAACCCATCAGTGGAAGAGACGTTGGGTTTTCATTGTGAAACTGGGAGGGGTGGATTGTGGAAGAGAGAAAGCAGACAAGGGGCTAGCTCTGGACCAGGTCACCTACAGCTGTTTTATTTGCCATGGCAGTGGGGTACCGAGCTGCCCCAGCCCATGGAAGCCTGCCTTTCCCCCACAAGGAAGACGCAGGGAACTCCTTCTCCCACAGCTTCTGATGGAGGTAAAGGATTTCCTCCCACTACCAATTGCTAGCGCTCCAGTGGGGGAATGGGATAAAGACCCTGGGAAGTAGGGGAAAGCCGCTCTGCCCCTGCACGGCCAAGCGTGTCAGAAAGCAGCATTGCAGAGCAAAGATGAGGCGACTCAGGGCAGGCAACTCCTACTGTGTCCGTGGGCAGCCGGCCAACGTTCTCCTCTGCCGCACCTGGAGAAGCAGAAAGGAGAGGAAGTTGCCGAGCGCCTAGAGAGTGCACCTGTCCAGAGCTCCGCAGCTGTGCCGTTAGAGCAGAGGTGTGGGAGACAGGACACCGGGGTTCTGTCCCTGGCTGACTTGTGGCGTGACCTCAGGCAAGACACTTAGGCCAAACTTCTCAAAAGTGGCCTCTCCTTCTGGGCACCTGTGGGCGGGCAGCGCGAGATGCCTGGGGCTGATTTTCAGTAGCGCTGACTCAGGAAGGCAGTGGGAGCTGTGGGCGGTTAACACCTCTGAAAAGCAGACACTATAGGACAGATTTCAAAGTGCCTAGTACCCAGCAACTCCCACCGTGACGCTTGTGACCTGATTTTCCAACCAGCTCCATACCTGCCGTGCAGAGCTCTTTGGAAAGATCTGCCCTGGTCTCTAGTTGGGAACCCAAAAAGTGGGGCCCCTAAAATGAGCGAGCTCAAGACAATGTAGCTCACAACCTGCCTGGGGTTCAGTTTCCCCTCGGCACAGTGGGGCTAATAACACGGCTTTACATCTCCTGGAGCCTAATGAGCGTCTGTCAATCTCTCAGAGCAATGGCTGGGGGTAATGCAAAGCAGAGTAAAGTATCCCCATGGACCTGCTCAGCAAGATGGCAGAAGCCCCCTGAACTCATTCGCAGGGTTGCTTTGGAAAAGGGGCTGCCCCAGTGGCCCCTGACCACCTCCCCTTGTTTCCCGGAGAATCTAAGAAACCTTTCCTGTCTCCCTCTCCCCCAGTTCTTCACCGGTGTCATGCTGGAGGTCATCGCTGAAGAATATGCCAACGACTTCACCCCAGAGGTGCAGAGAGCCTGGACCAAGATGAAGAGCCTCATCTACACCCACGTGACTGCCGCGTACAAGGAGGTGGGCTGGGTGCAGTATCCAAACTCCACCATGTGAGCGGACAGAGGGGCAGGGAGGGGCGGGGAGGGACGTGCATCAAGACTTCACTTTGGTCTCCCCTCAAGAGCCTCACGAGCTGAGCAGCCTGGTAGGGTTAGCTCTATAATGGCAGAGGACAAATTTGATCTCCCTGTGGCAAAAAGTGGGTTGGGAGTGGCAGAGGGTGGGAATGGGGAATCATTTCACTCGGTGGCCCAGTCTTGTTCCAGAGGCCAGTAAATTATTGACCTCCCCAAACCCAGAGCCTGGCTTTGATTTGATCCCTGAGAAGTGCATTGGCTCAAATTCTGCGGTGAGCCAGAGACACACTGCCCGAATTTACTGAAGAATTAAAAGCCCATCCTAACCCACTACAGTCTGCAGTGCCCCCCGCCATCCTGGGCTCCATACCCATGGGGTTTGTGATTTATCAGGGTCATGTCCTGCTCTCCTGTCTGGTTTGCAAAGGAAACACGTAACTGTTGCATTTTTAAAAGAAAAAAGAACCCAGCTGGATTGACTCCAGCCCGGAATTCGTGTGGGATGCAGAGAACCTCCCACTAAACTATAAATCTCTGGTACAGGAGCAGCCCACTCCCTCGCCCATCCTCACCCCATCCCTAGGCAGCAGAATTTCATTGGCACAGAAACGCTTCTCCACGGCTGTCTGTTGCCCGTAGTCCTGGGGGCTCAGCCCACCTGCAAGGTGTGCTGCTGCATTTTCAGAAGCAGTTCCGGCACCACAGAGCATGTCATGGGATGCCATTTATAGGGCTTGTAGCACAGCCTTGTGGGTAGAGAGTATGCCTCCCGAGGCAAGGGGGAGGGGAGGAAATTAGCACAGGATCGGGGCCCTGCTCTCAGAGAAGTGGCAGCAGCAAGAGAATGGGCAGTAGGCAGCGGATTGCTGCTGGCCAGGGAAACGCAGGCTCCGGGGAAAAGGGGAGGCACTGCGGAACCAGGCTGTCTCCCTTCAACTCCCTCAGTCATCCCATAGGAGGTGTGGGAAGCTGGGACAGGCCCCTGAATTGACTTAGCCAGTAGGTTCTACTCACAGTGGCCATGACCCAGGGAGCTCGCAACTGGCATGTGTGCGTCTGCAGGAAGAATGGGGGGTTTAGTGCACCTAAGCCCCGGCTACTCTTAGCACCCTCTGGTTGGGGGAAGGGGAATTATGCAATGAGCAGGAAAGGGGTGAAAAGATGAACTGAACATATTAAGGGTCAAATCCTGAGTGTGATGAAAAGTCTCTACTCACTGGAAAAAAAGCTTTGCTCCTTGAAGCATACATTTGCCCTCAGAGTGAAACTGGGTTCCTCCATATAAAGTGCCTGATAAAAATCACTGCATGAAAGACACTGATTCCGTCCTCGTCAGTATCATGAGCACCTGATAAATCCCCACATTAATTTATAACAAATGACTCTCCAGCATCCCCCTCTGGGAGAGATACATAGTTTAGCACAGCAGTTCTCAAACTTTAGCAACCTGAGGACCCCCCATTTTGATTTAAACATTTTCATGGACCCCCAAGCTTCCCGCTCAGACCCAGGCTCTGCCCCTACTCCACCCCTACCTCCAAGGCCCCCCCCACCTCTTCCCACCCCAACTCTGCCCCTCCTCTTCCCCGCTTCTTTCCACCCCCTCCCCCATGTGTACCCCGTCCCCGCTCCTCCCCCTCCCTCTGAGCACCTCCTGCACGCCACTGAACAGCTGTTCTGCAGCGTGCAGGAGGCACTGGGAGGGAGGGGGAGGCATTGATCAGCGGGGCTGGCAGCCCTGGACATGACTCACAGACCCCCAGGGGTCCAGTGACCCCAGTTTGAGAAACCCTGGTCTAGCAGCAGGAACTCCTTCTGCAGCCTTGGACAAGTCCCTTACCTTCTCTGTCTCAGTTTCCCCACATGTCAAAAGGGATAGTAATACCCCCCATCCCAATGCACAGGGGTGTTGGAGGGATTAATCAGTGCATGTCTGTAAAGCAGTCTGGTGATGAAAAGCCAATCTGCTCAAATAACTCTCAGAGAAGCTTGGCATGTTTTTCATCCAATAATTATTTCCAAGTAGATGTCTCCCGGATACATCCAGCTCGAGTGGTAAGTGCTACTACTCAAAGCAAGGGGCAGGGCTCTTTTCCTCGGAGGCTCCCATCTGCAGCAGACTACCCACAAACCTCAGATGTAGTCTGCACCTGGGGAGAGACCTGTTCTTATTCTGCTCGGCATGAGTGTCTCCAGTTATATTCCTCCCAGACATTCTCTAAGGAGCCGACAATGGTCAGTTCCTTGGGAGTGAGGCTGGGACTCTCCCGTTATCAGACACATAAGAGGACCAAAAGCGTGGGGCTGGGCTGAGTGTGCTCCTTGTACCATGGGTGCCAGTCCTACCCCCTCCGCAGTAGCTCCCTCTTTCCAGCCGGTCCTAAGAAAGTGGCTGTTCTCACTAGGGCAACTCTGTTATACGATCTGTGCTGGCAGCGAGCCCAGGAGCTTTCCCCATGGGCTAAATCGATAGTTACACCAGGGATGGATTTGGCCCCATGCAGCCTCTATACCAGGGGGCTGCACTGAGCAGGTCTGGAGCCAAATGACAGTTTTAAGTAGTAACTGAAGTGATGTCACTTCCCCAAAACTGCACCCAGTTTGTGGATTAACTTTTCTTCCACCTCCCCTCATTTTGTCACTCCTCCAGTTCCTCCATTTGCCCCCCCCCCGCCCCGGCGTCTTTCTCCCTTTCCTCTCCCTGTATGACTTACAGGATAAGTAATGTAGTTGGGCCAATAAGAGATATTACTTCACCCACCTTGTCTCTCTAACATCCTGGGACTCACATGGCTACAACACTGCATACAGAGTACCACAGAGTCTGCTACCACATGGGACTTCCCTTGAAAATGCCCTACCGGTTATGTGGTGCTCACCCAGCACAGTACATTGTTCTGCCTTTGTAAATAGCCTGCTGCTACATCATACTTCTATCGTAACTACCTGCCCTTGGATGGTACTTACTCCACACACGTTCTGCCTTGTTTGTCCCAGGCAGACCAGCTAGTAGACAAGCGAGTCAGAGAGCAAGAGTCCTATTGAGATTGGAAGCTCTTTGGGGCAGGGACTGTCTTCTCCTGGACTGAGTACTGTTGATGCGTAATTCACAATACTGAGTAATAAAGAGCTGCTGGTGCATGTTATAGGCCATGAAACTCAATGATGAAGTTTGACCAAACAGGCATTTATCGTTCTCTCACCATTTTCCACCAATGAAGAAGAGAGTAATTCTGCTGTGAGTTAAATCCTTCCCCTTGTGCATTGGCGGTGGCCGGGTCCCTTTCTGTGAGCGTGGCTGGTAGAGCACAAGTCTCTTCGCCTCTCACAGGGAGGAGCAGGGTGGAAAGGAGCAGAATGTTTTGTACGTGGGCCCTTGTTTATTGCGTTTCTCTGTAACCTTCCCCACAGGTTTGGAATTCTTTGGGAGACAGAGGGCTGGGGCAGGGGGGTCATGTATGGAGGAAGCTGGGGGCCACACTTCCCTGTCGCGCACAGTTCTCTAAGCTGCTCATCTGGACTTGGGTCCTTCAAAGTTCTGAGCCCTCTAGCCCCAATCTGGCAGAGCACTTGAGCACCTGATTCACTTTAAGCACGAGTGGGCCTGATCCGGATGTCAGCGGGTCTGGAGTGCTCAGCATCTTGCAGGATTGAGCCCTTGGTGCCTCTCTTCTTTCTCAGCATCCCGCAGCTATGAAATGGCAAATTCCAATAAGATTTCTAGTGAATCTAACCTCAGCTGAGCTGATCAGACACTAAACCCTTCTTAGGCTCTGGGGCAGGGCCCAGCCCTCCGTTCCTGTCTTCTTGTACCAATGGCTGTAACACCTCCGGTTTACAGACACCATCATGTCATTGTGTTACCCACAACCACCACCCTTCACCGTCTGTGCAGCAGCTCTGCTAGCAGACACATCCAAACCCCATCCTCTTCTGCCAGAAGGAAGCGATCTCTCCGCGCAGACCTCTCCCTTTACCCTGGGCCTACCCACCTTTCCCATTCTCTCTCATTCCCCCTTTGCCCTTCCTCCCCATGTGCCTTTCTACTCTTCCGGCTAATGGGTTAACTAGCTCTTTAGCACCCCGCAGCTCAGACTGATCTAGTAACTAGCCCCAGCTTCCCTGAACCAGGCCCTTCTCCGGGGAAACTAATTGAGCGTACAGTGACCAGAGTTTTGGTTCAGCTGCTGGCTCTCAGCACTGTCAGACCCGTCTGATCCCAGTGCCATAAAGTTCTCGGTACTATGGCTTGGATTTAGTCACGGGCTATGCCGAGATTTCATAAAAGCCTATAGAGATGTCCTGGGATTGACACATCAGACCCATGGCTCCACTTGCTGAATGTTCCCCCCTGGCATTTTGAGCCAGTGTTTTCATTATGTGCAGTTTCTGAAGAGTCCAAGTGAAAATTGTGGGGATCAGAAAGAGGGTCTCTGCAGATTTTTGGCGTTATCCCCAACCCCAAGTTCATCTCCTTTCCTTGTCTAAAGAAGAGAGGGAATTTCTTATGCATGGGGAGAATGGTAGCAAAAAATTCCGATCCCAGATTTTGATCAGAATTGCCAAAAAAAAACAAAACATTCTCTTATCACCCACAGATAGGTCTCTTTCAGCCTTCTCTCTCCCTCGCGAAGAACCTGCACTGTCTCCTTGAGCCAACCTGAGACTAACCCAGGGTCCTTTAAAACATATATAAATGTAGTGCTGGTGGAAGGTACTGGACAGATAGTCCTGGAGACTGAAGTCCTCTGCTGTATTTATCTATTGCAAAAGGACAGCACAGGGAGCAGCAATGCAAACTTCCCTGCACCATGCTACCAGAGCACTGCCTTGACCTTGACTTGGAGGGACCGTCTTGAGCAGAGAGGCCAGTTCAGTCTCCATCCGAGTCTCTCTGCTGAGAGCATCAATTCAAGAGTTTAAGGCCAGAAGAGAGCATCA